GGATCTGCCCAACTGGTTTCCAAAGCAGATGTACCATTTGGGACCCCGTCAGCCATGGTGAGCGTCCCAGCCCTTCCCCATCCTCACCAGCCACTGGGTGCCGCCAGGAGTAACTCCACCCACCAGCCATGCAGGGCACCCTGGCCCTCCCCACCCAGCAGGGTGCTGCTGTCCTTTTCAGTTTCAGTCTCAGTGTGCGTGACCCTCAGTGGGGTTTCCCTGAGCATCCCCCTGATGGCTGATGGCGTCAGCGTTTGCTTAGGGAAACACCTGGAGGCCCTTCACACTCCACAAGGCTGCAATCCCACCCACGAGGGGTCCCTCCCTTCCTCATCCCAGCCCTCTCCTGCCTTTCCCTCAGCCACCACCCCCTTCAGGACGGCTCAGCAGAACCCTGAGGTCTTAGCTTGCTCTTCCCCCACCCTCTCTAACTCCAGCGTCCCCCAGGTTGTCTTTATCATCCCTTCACCCACATCCTCAGTCTCCCCCCACCCCTGAAGCGACTCTTCCTCCTCCTTCAGATACCCCTCCATTGCCTAGTTCCTGTCCCTCGCGCACACGCCTGTGCTTACACTAGTTCACACTCTTACACCCCGTGACTTGCCCCAGTGGCAGACAGGGAGAAGAATCTGAGCTCTTGCTCAGATCCGTTGTCAAGTGGAACACCCATGTGATGGGGGGGAGGGGGCAGCCCTTGACACGGGGGGGGGGGGGTAGAGAGGACTGGGTGTAAACTTAGCCTACAACTGCCTGCCCCCCAACTCCTGACCCCACCTCCTGACCCTCACCTCCTGACCCCCACCTCCTGACCCCCTCCCTGCCTCTTCTGGCTTTGGCAATGCAACCTGTTTGCTCCTGACTCCTGAGCTCCAGCTTCCCGGGCGGCCGCACAGTGATTTTTGCACCCCGACTGCGCGGTCCCCCTAAGACCTAAATGAGATAGTACAGACACGGGTCAGGCATGCAGAGAGTGCTCAGCACGCGCCAGCCCTCTTTGTGCTGGGCCGAGCTCTGCACCCTCTGGGTCTCCACAGAGAGGGGCTTCTCTGTCACCCTTCCGAGGAACCTCGCCTTTCCTCCGTTCCAAGGAGCAATTAAGGGTGACAAGGGGGGACTTCCAGATGACAGGAAGGTCAGCAGAGAGACCTTGGGGCATTGGATTCCCCCAGAACCCCGCTGCTGCGATCTGGAGGAGAGGGTAACATCATGGTAAAGAGCATGCATAGCTCCAGGGCCTGGGCTCCGGGGCCTGGGTTCCAGTCCCAGGTCCTCTGTATTAAGGAGGCTGGGGAGGTTCACTTCTCTGAGCCTCCATTCCCGCCTCTATGAAAGGGAGAACATTTGAGGGCCTCCTCTGAAGGCTGTTGGAGGGGTCCAGGGAGATACTGCAGACGTGTGGGGTTGCTGAGTGGATGCCGTGGCTGACTCAGGCTCTCACGGTCAGGGGCGTACAGAGATGGGGGAGGGCGGCTGTGCGCAAGAGGCATCTGGAATCTGACCGAGGACCAAGGTGTCAAGCTTGGAGAATGAGTTGTTTAGCAAATACATTACCAGAAAAAGCCAAGAGCATCCACACTCAAAACCCCAGGCTGCCTGGGTCCTCATGGCGCCCTCATCCTCCAGGAGCAGGTGGCCAGCGCCCCCTGGTGGCTGTTCCTCTCATCCAGCGTGAGTCCCTTTCCAAGCCGGAAAACCACACATCTGTGTTCTCAGGCAGCGTCCTCAGGGAAGGGAACCAGGGCCCTCGGGAACGAACTGTTCGGATGCCCTCAAGTCCTGTAGCTGCCGGGTCTGTGACTCTATTGTCTCTGATCCAGAGGAGATGAACCCCGATCTGCCCAGCCCACCAGTGGGGCTTCTCTAAAGGTCATGGGGGAAGCAGCAGACAGGGTCACCTCCAGATGCTGGGACATCTCCCCACCACTCCCTGCTCTGTCCCCAGGGTCCCATCACCTGCCATGTTCCTTCCTGCCTTTCCCATGGCTCCTCCTCTCCCCATCCCTGACCCCTCTCTCCCAAGATTCAACTGTCTCTTTGAACTCTTGCACTGCAGGTCAGACCCTGAGCAGGTGGGTCAAGGCCTCTTTGTCCCAGAGAGTGTTTTCGGGGAGAGAAATGCTGTTGTTCTTCTCCCAGAAGATGGGGGCTGTGTGCTCAAGAGGTTCTCCTGTCTGGAAATGACTGGAAGAAAGGACTTGGGAGCGGGGTGAGAGAGAGAGAGTTCAGGGTCCTCAGGATGCCTTGGGGTCCATGTGGGGTTGGGATGAGGTGGGGCATGTCTGCTGTACGTGTGACCCACACACGGGCAGCCCTCCTGGCTTGCTGGAGTTGGGGGTGTGCTCTCGAAACGTAGGCTTTGATGCCAAGATCAGAAAGCCGGCAGGTTCGTGACCCTGTGTCGTCCTGCCCTGCAGTTAGGGGTCAGACTTATAGCCGAGATGGCTTGCTGCCTCTTTGTAAAGGGGTGTGTTGCATGTGTGTGTGTGTGTGCACACACGCGTGTGTGCATGTATGTGTAGGTGTGTGTGCATGTGTGTGTAGGTGCAGGTATGTGTGTGCGCACACGCGTGTGTGCATGTATGTGTAGGTGTGTGTGTACATGTGTGTGTAGGTGCAGGTATGTGTGTGTGTGCATGCACGTGTGTGCGTGAGGTATGTGTGTGCGCACACGCGTGTGTGCATGTATGTGTAGGTGTGTGTGTACATGTGTGTGTAGGTGCAGGTATGTGTGTGTGTGCATGCACGTGTGTGCGTGTATGTATAGGTATGTGTTTATGTGTGTGTGTGTAGGTATATGTGTGCATGTGTAGGTATGTGTGTAGGGGGGTGGTTGCATGAGTGTGTGTGTGTATGTGTGTAGGGGTAGATGTGTGTGTGTGCACACATGTGTGCGTGTGCCCAGGGAGGCCAGAGGGCAACCTCAGCTGATGTTCTTCGGGAATTATCTACCTCCCATTTGAGATGGTCTCTTATCGGCCTGGACTTTTCAAGGTAGAATAGACTGGCTGGCCAGAGGACGACCTGTCTCTGTTGCCCTTGCCAGGGCTGGGTTAAGAGTGTGAACCACCACGTCTGTTTTGTTTTGCTTTTCGTGGATTCCGGGGACCAAACTCAGGTCCTCATGTTGGTAAGACAAGTAAGTGCTTTCCCCTGCTGAGCCAACTCCTCATAACAGGGCACATGGACACCATCATTTCCCACACACAGGGACACTATCATCTCCCACACACAGGGACACCATCATCTCCCACACACAGGGACACCATCATCTCCCACACACAGGGACACCATCATCTCCCACACACAGGGACACCATCGTGCACCACATCGTCTGTGGCTTAGAAAACTAATGTGGGGTGGCGCACGCCTTTAATCCCAGCACTCGGGAGGCAGAGCCAGGCGGATCTCTGTGAGTTCGAGGCCAGCCTGGGCTACCAAGTGAGCTCCAGGAAAGGCGCAAAGCTACGCAGAGAAACCCTGTCTCGAAAAACCAAAAAAAAAAAAAAAAAGAAAACTAATGTGGGAAGTCGCAGCAGGGATACTCACCACCTTCGCCTTAAGAAGCAACTGGTCAGCCGGGGTGGGGGTGGGGGGCAGGAGGTAGGGGAGTGGCTGGGGATGGGGGTGGGCGGTAGTGGCGCACGCCTTTAATCCCAGCACTTGGGAGGCAGAGGCAGGCAGATCTCTGTGAGTTCGAGGCCAGCCTGGTCTATGGAGTGAGATCCAAGACAGGCACCAAAACTACACAGAGAAACCCTGTCTCGAAAAACCAAAAAATAAGATAAAATAAAAAGCAACTGGTCAACCCCAAACTCTCAGCAACTGCCCACGTCTCCTGGGAGGTAAGCGGCAGCCTAGAAAGTGTCCTGAATGGCAGGGACTCTGCCAGTGTGTGGGGATCTGCTAGGAGACGTTAGTGGAGCTGGGCACCCTGTGGAAGGAGAGAGGTTGATCAGAATCCATCCCTGGCGCATGAGCGCACTTTTTGGAGCCCACTACCTATGACGGGACACCTTGTACAGCCTTGAGGCAGGAGGAAGGGCTTAGACTTGCCTCTACTGGATGTTCCTCCCCATGGGAGGCCTTGCCTTCTTGTGCGTGGAAGTGGGAGGGGGAGGGGGTGAGAGGAGGGAAGAGGGGGATCTTTGGTGTGTAAAGTGAATGAAAAAAAATTCTTAATAAAAAATTTTAAAAAATAAATAAATAAAAAGAAAAAAGAAGCCAGGCAGTGGTGGCGCACGCCTTTAATCCCAGCACTCGGGAGGCAGAGCCAGGCGGATCCCTGTGAGTTCGAGGCCAGCCTGGTCTACAGAGTGAGATCCAGGACAGGCACTAAAACTACACAGAGAAACCCTGTCTCGAAAATCCAAAAAAAAAAAAAAAAAAGAAAAAGAAAAAGAAAAAAAGAAAAGAAAAAGAAAAAAGAAAAGAAAGGAGAGAGGATTCTGGGTAGGATCATGTGGGTACCAAGAGGCATATTTGTCTGAGAGCTGAGGGACAGCCCGCCCCCCCTTGGCCCAACTTGGTCAGGGTGTGTTCAATGAAGTTCTCTGGTTTGTTTATTTGCTGAGTTTGTTTATTGTGCATGAGCATGTGTGTGGAAATCCAAGCACAATTTTGGGGAGTGAGTTTTCTCCCTCCACCATGTAGGCCCCGGTCTGGCTTAGGATCTCAGGCCTGGCTGCACGCACCCTTACCCACTGAGCCATCCAGCCAGACCTAGTTTTCGTTTTCTTTGAGACTGGTCTCATGGATCCCAGGCTGGTCTCAAACTCGCTGTGCATAGCGGAGGATGATCTTGAACTCCTGCTCCTCCAGCTCTCCGGTGCTGAGATCATAGGCATGTGCAATCACATGGAGCTCTCCCCGCCTGCAGTTGGCCAAGAACGGACCAGAAGTCTCTGTTGCCTAAGAGCAACATGGACATTGACTGGCCTAAGAGCCCTTCGGGGAAACTGCCTGGAGGTGGCAACCTGGGCAGGCAAAGGACTCGGCCACCATTTGTTACCACACACATTTATTGAGTGCCTGGGCTGTGCCAGGCCGCGGTGCGAGGTCACTCTGTCACTGGACGGAAGCCCATGGTTCACACAGACCCTAATGAAGGACTGTCTTTCCAAGCCTCGCCTGGGAAAGCCAAGCTGCCCCTCAGTGGGGGTAGAGGATCAGACGGGCCTTGGGAAATGGCAGCTTCCCCCCCCCCAGAGGTCCTTTCTTATCAGGTAACCATGGCAACCGAGAGGCAGGCTTTGTGAGTGGGGTAAGGGGAACTCTTTCTTTCTTGGGGGATGTGAGGTCAGGACTCCAGTGACCCTGCAGGAAGTCACACAGCACTGGGAGGCATTGGCGGAGGCGGGGGTGGGGGTCCAGTGACCCTGCAGGAAGTCACACAGCACTGGGAGGCATTGGCGGAGGCGGGGGGGGGGGGGGGGGGGTGGAGCGGGAGGATGGGTAGGTGGGGGGGGGTCCCAAAAAAAACAGCAGACAAGTAGAGGGAGGGGTCCAGGAGCAGCAACTGCTACCGTGGTCCTTGGCCTGGGGACCACCAGCCTCCATGAATGAAGCAGGAGCTGCAGGACCTTGGAGGCTCTGGGCCATGATTGGGGTGGGTCAAGGCGTCTTCCCTCACGATCCCTATGGAGAAAGTTCCCCCAGATAGCCCCGAGCTGTGGCCTTGGTGACCGGTGGGTGGGCGTGGAGGGTGAAGCCAGCAAGGGTCTTGCTCAGGTAGCCAGGGGCGCTAAGGGAGGAAGCTGCGTAGGGTGAGGTCATCGCCGTCGCGGTCCTCACTGGGCTCTGTCTTCAGGTCCTGGACCTTGGGCAGGTCCCCATTGGCCGTGACGGGGGCCCCGTCGCCCCCCTCGGGTAGGAGGGATGAGATGCAGATCATCTCCGTGGGGGAGTAGTTCCGCACCGGGTACATGTGGTTCTTCCGCGAGAGGCGGACCGCCAGCACCACGGTGCACACGAGGAAGATGGTGGCCAGCGAGGCTAAGATGAGGATGGCCAGCAGGCATTGCTTCACGGGAATGAGGTCAGAGGTCACTGGGGTCGTTGTAGCCAGGGAGCTCCCAGGGGTCACCAATAGCTCATTCTTCAAACCATTGCCATTGAAGTGGCCAGTTGCCTCATCCTTGGCCTTGTGACTCACAAATGGCCCAAGGAAGATGGTAGAGTCAGTGGGCTCTGTGGACATGATCTCCGTGGCAGTGGGCTCTGTGGAAGGGAATTCTGTGGCTGTGGACTCTGTAAACCGACTTTTTACAACCTGACTCCTGGAAAACTGGGTGGTCTCTGCCTCCGTGGATGCTGGCTGGGAGGTCTCTGCCTCCGTGGGTGCTGGCTGGGAGGTCTCTGCCTCCGTGGCTGCTGGCTGGGAAGTCTCTGCCTCCGTGGCTGCTGGCTGTGAGGTCTCTGCCTCCGTGGGTGTTGGCTGTGAGGTCTCTACCTCTGTGGATGCTGGCTGTGAGGTCTCTGCCTCCGTGGGTGTTGGCTGTGAGGTCTCTGCCTCCGTGGCTGCTGGCTGTGAGGTCTCTGCCTCCGTGGCTGCTGGCTGTGAGGTCTCTGCTTCCGTGGCTGCTGGTTGGATAGTCGTCTCCACTGTGGTTGGCTTCCACTGTGGGGCAGACTCCGTGCTCAGCATTCCAACAGCCAGCCCTCCTGCATCTGGGCCAGCAAGGCTAGTGGCAGTAACCTGGGCCGTGGCTGACTCAGGGGTTCCAGAAACTCTCTGCTCCAGCATGGCCACCGTGGTCAGAGGCTCAGGGTGTGGAGCCACGGTGTTGGTGGTATTCGTCAGCAGTTCTGGGGGATCTGTGCCATCCGGGACATAGTCAGCGTCCTCAAAATCATCACCCACATCTGCCTGTCTCCGTTCCCGGAGACGCACAGCGCGTGAGGCCGCCTTGGTTCCCTGCTCCCAGGTGTCCCACAGCTGAAGGCAGTTGCCAGGGCCCAAGACGCTCAGCAGTAGGAGGAGGCGTGGAAGCATGGTACCTGAGGAGACAGGGATGGACAGGTGGGATGGTGTCAGCCCGTGCCTGCCGAGGACCGCACAAGGAGCGCTGGCCTGGTCTGGGGCCGGCACTGTGGCACCAGACATATTGGAGACATATTCTTGGCTGTTAGAAGCTTTGTGCTTATCCCCACAAATAACACCACCCGGCCATCTGAGAAGGTTCGCCAAACCCCCTAGCGTGTCTTTGGGGGTTACATTTTGTTTTCTTTCTCCCCTGCCACTCTATTTACTTTTTTTTTACTTTTTAATTTTATTTATTTATTCTATTTTATTTTTTGAGATGAGAGTCTCACTCCAGGCTGTCCTCAAACTAATGATCCCACTGCCTCAACCTCCTGAGTGCTGACATTATAGGTATGAACTACCATGCTCAGTGGTTAAAAAAGAATAATGTATTTTATATATATATATATTATATATATATATATAATATATATATAAAATCTAGTTTTTTTGTTTTGTGTATATGAGTGTTTTGCCTGTTTAAATGTCTAGGAGCCACATGTATGCAGTTTCTGAGGAGGGCATTGGATTCTCTGGAACTGGAGATACAGTAATAGGCTGACATGTGGGTGCTGGGAATCAAACCCTGGTCCTCTGGATGAGCAGCCATTGTTCTTCACCACTGAGCCATCTCTCCAGCCCTAAAATATTTTATTTCTACTAGGCTCATGACTATAATCCCAGCTTTGAGAGCCTGAGATTTGAAGTAGGCCTATCTACATAGTGAGATCAAGGTCAGCCTTGCATAACTTAATGAGCTTCTGTTTAAAAAACAAAGAAAGCAAAATTAAGAAGCCTGAAGGGTCTGGACATGGTGACACGTGCCTGTAATCACAACACCCAGGAGGCAGAAGCAGGAGGTCAGGAGTTCAAGGTCGTCTTCAACCACATAGTGAGTTTGAGTCTAGCCTGAGCTACATGAGACCCTGTTTCAAACCCTCCCCCTACCAAAAAAAAAAAAAAAAAAAAGACACACACACACAAAAAAAGAGGAAGGTGAGGGTTTGTGACTCAGCATTCGAGAGCTGAGGGAAAAGGCAGATCGTTGGTCCCCAATGCTTCTCCTTAGCCCTGCCCCCTCCATCTCTCTGCCTCCTCCCTGCCCCACACAGCTTTTGCCTGTCCTCGGGTCTTCGACTCTTTTTTAAAAAGGATATATTTGAGCTGAACAAAGACAACACCGATGGACATGTCAAAGTGGATGGGGAAAGACCTCAGCTCCACACAGGAAAGAACGACAGCCCCCTGAGCAATGCTCTCGGGGGAAACAGTCTTCCCCAGGGAAGAGCACACCGACAGGTTACCCACCACGAACAGTCGTCTCGGAAAACATACATCCAAGTCCCCTTATACAGACCGAGCAGGTTGTATTTAAGAATATATGTCTATACACATGCATATATGTGTGCAACAACACTTAATAGAAAAAGAGCCCATGAATTTGAAATAGAACAAGGAGGGGCATTTGGGAGGGTTTGGATCAAGAAAAGGGGAGGGGGAAATGATGTAATTATAGTCTCAAAAATAAAAAAAGAAACCTCCTGGGTGATGGTGGCGCACACCTTTAATCCCAGCACTCGGGAGGCAGAGGTAGGCGGATCTCTGTGAGTTCGAAGCCAGCCTGGGCTACAGAGTGAGAGATCCAGGACAGGAACCAAAACTGCATAGAGAAACCCTGCCTCGAAAAACCATCCCAAGACAAGCAACCAAACAAAAATTTTTCAAAAAATTTTTTGTTTTTTTTTTTCCTAAGTATTTTAAATTATTCCCGTGTCTGTGTGGGGATATGTGCACCTGACTGCAGGAGCTAGAGGCATCAGACCCCCTGGAGCTGAAGTTACAGGTAGCTGTGAGCTGCCAGACAGGGTGCTGGGACCCGAACCCAGGTCCTCTGGAGAAGCAGCCAGTGCCCCTAACCACTGAGCCATCCCTCCCCTCGGTTGATCTCTGTCAGCGTTTCTCCTTGGTCCTGTTCCCTTGGTGTCCTTGCTTGGACGATGGGGATGACAAGACCCACCTCTAAGGCACTGTGAAAATGTCACGGGAGCCATGCTACAGCAAGGTCTCAGCCGAGGCGGCTGCTCTGGCTGCTCTGGCCGACGTCTCCTGCAAGTCCCTCAGGGCCCAGAGACAGGATCCAGGAGGAATCTCACCTCTCAAGGAGCTCAGCCCTCAGACTTGTCTGTATGGGGCCACTGTTTCCCAACAAGGGAGCCAGGAAGAACAGCCTCTTTCCTTTAGACCAATATCCCCCTGACCCCCTACTTCCTCCTGGCACTGGCTAGGATTTTTAGAAGACAGACTCCAGCCCTGAAGAAAGCTGTGGTGAGTGGCAGGACCTGGATACTTGTTGGTGCCCTGCACACAGTGTCTTTCGGTGGTACACAACCCTCCAGCGGTGTCTCTGAAGCAGACGGCTTCCACATCCATCATCATTTCCTGTATCTTTCCCTGGTCCTTCACACATGTGATTGGCAGGAGGGCGGGGCCGGGTGGCTCTAACCTGTGGGTCCCTCTTTGCTCGGCTCAATCTGGCCTCTTTCACGGGCCAGATTGCACTGAGTTTTTAAAATGCAACTCTGAGCACATCTTTGTGGACTTTTTTTTTTTTTTTGTCTTTTGTTTCTGTTGTTGTTGTTTTGAGACAGTTTCTCTACACAGCCCTGCATATCCGGGAACTCACTATGTAGCCCAGGCTGGCCTCGGACTCGCAGAGATCCACCTGCCTCTGCCTCCCCGAGTGCTGGGATTAAAGATGTGCACCACTGTGCCCAGCTTGATCACATCTTCTATTAAAAAAAAAAAAAAGAAAAAGAAAAGAAAAGAAAACAAACCTTATGGTACTTGGAAAGGCAGTTACAGAGGCAGGGACAGACCCAAAGCCACCCAGGAAGGGATTGGCCCAGTCCAGACCAAGGGAGGCTTTATGGAGAACACAACCCCGGTGAAAGGGCCGAGGTACAGGCAGAGGGCTCAGCTCAGGCCTGTGGAGCTTGAATCCTGAACTGGGGGAAAGACCAGGCCCCAGTTGTTCAGGAACCACCAAGGCCCTAGAAAGGGCAGCAGACAGTGGCGTCGGACGGGAGAAGGTTCAAACACTGCCTCTTAGAGGCTGTGTGACTTTGAGATAGGCGCTGGCCTCTCTGAGCAGGGTTCCTTCTTAGAGAAAAAAGACACGCCCGCCTCGGTCCCTCTTCCCTGAGGGGAGAGCAGGGCAAGAAGAAGCCACCGGTGCGGCGGTACATGTCATCATCTTAACACCAACACCGCCGCCCGCACCCACTACCTCGCCTTGGTTCCTGGAAGGCAGAGACTGAACCACTTCCTGAAAGGGGGGGATGGGCACTACCGAGGCTAGCCCTTCAGTTTCTGGGGGCAACGCAGCTTGTTGGGGGGGGGGGCGTCAGAGGGTCTGAAAGTCAGGGGTCCCATCTACGGGCGAGGGCCAATGAGAAAGGAGCCAGGCTGCTTCCTACCCACAATCCCCTGCATGCAGAGGTGGCCTGGGGTGAAGACAGGGCTGGCCCACATTCACACCCCACAGCAGCTATGTGACCCTGAGCAGGGGCCCTCTCTGACCCTCAGCTGCCTCCCCCACCCCTTGCCCCGAGACAGGGTTTCTCTGTGTAGCTTTGGAGCCTGTCCTGGATCTCACGCTGTAGCCCAGGCTGGCCTCGAACTCACAGAGATCCACCTGCCTCTGCCTCCCGAGTGCTGGGATTAAAGGCGTGCGCCGCCACCGCCCAGCCTGGCTGCCTCTTACATAAAACGAGTAACGTTGCTTCCAAGATGTCCCGGGGAAGGTCCCAGATGTTGGTTTCTGAAAGGAAGAAATCAGGGACACCTTTTGTGGAGATACAGGGAGGCCTCAGGCTCAAGAGGGCCATGGAGATGAGAACGGGGGGGGGCACCACTGTGGGCAACCAGGGAACCGAGAGCCCTTCCCTGCTGTGGGAGGTTCAGGGCAAGAGTGAGCTCCTGGCATCCCAGCTCCTCAGAAGGATCGCTGGAGCCCAGGAGTTTGACACCAGCCTGGGTAACACAGCAAGACGCTGTTTCATATAAATAAGTAAATACATTAATTAATATAATTTTCTTTTAAAAAAAAGTATGGCTGGGCATGCTGATGCATAGCTGTAATCCCAGCACCTAGGAGGTAGAGGCAGAAGAATACAAGAATCCAGGTGTAAAAGTAAATAAATAAACCAAGGGCTGGGGGTGTGCCTCAGTGGTAGAACATTCGCTTAGCACAGGAAAAGATGAGGCTCCCTGGGAGAGCCCAAATCTCCTCACTGGGCCTGTCCAGAGTGAGCAGTTTGACCCAGAAGTCCTACCTACATCACAGAAATCCCTCAGTCTCTACTAACCAGGGCCACCGGCCACTCCAGGCCGGTCCCTGCTATCTGTGTACCTCATCAGGACAGGTCCTGGAGCACCGCGGCCTGGAACATCTGTCCTCCGCAGGGATGGAAGCGCACAGCTCCAATGGGAGCCATGTCTGAAACAGGTGGGCCGGAGGCCGGTGCCAGATGCGTCGCTGGTGATATTTCCAGATAACGATACACTGATAACGACTCAGACCAAGCCCCCACCACGCCGCTGCTGTGGGTGCGTTCTTCTCTGGATGAACTCCCCTATCGTCTCCCCGAGAAGCGCTGGTCCTCAGGGCCCATGCGATACGGGTGAGGGACGCAAGCCTTGGATCACAAGCCTGGGAGCGATGGTTTACCCCTTCTCTCCTCTCCTCAGATGACAGGAAAGCAAGATCGGGGCCGGCCCGGCTGAGCATCAAGAGGGCGGGCGAAGCCACATCCAGTTGTCTCGGTGCTTGCCTGCCTGTTTCCTGTCCTTCACCCCCAAACCAGTAGCTTCCTCCCTAGCCCCTGAGGTTTAGAAAGGACAAGCCTCTGGTGGCCTCATTCCTCCAAGAAGCTTGGAGCCTCCCCTTTTGAGTCCCTGAACATCATTTTAGAGTTTCAGACTCCAAGAGAGGCAGAGTCTACACAGACAACCAGGGGAAACTGAGACACAGTCACCCCAGGTCCACACCTCACCCCAGGTCCCCGTGAGGGCTCTATATGCTGGGAGTCAGATAACAGTCCGTCATAGTTCTGTCCCAGACAAAGCTGTGTGACCTTGGGTAACTCACTTCACCTCTCTGAACCATGGAAAGCCCATCGGCAGTCTAGGTGTGCCTCAGTGTACATGGGGTTTAGTCCCTATAAATCCACGGTAGCACGAACATATTAACCCCCTTGACCTGGCAAGCATTACTGAGTAGCCAGGCCCTCCTAAAACGTGTTGGAAATGCTTACCTTAGCAGTTGGGCGACATTGTCTAACTCCAGTCTGGGGTGTCTAAGAACTGATGGCCCAGGGTAGATGAAACTCAAAACTCAAAGTGTGGGTTCTCCAGATGGCTTGCTTTCACACCACCGTGAGGGCAAAGTGTCACAAAGCAGGACAGTGCTGAGGACAGTGTGTGCAGAGGCGAGAGAACCCACTCCTCATGGGGCTGATGAGGGTGCGTGAGGGATGGTCCCCACGGGATGTTTAGCACCAATAAATGCTCAGTAAAACCCAGCTGTTACCATCCTCATCCTCATCCTCATCCTCATCCTCATCATCATCAGTTTGAAATGGGGTCTCACTGTGTGGCCCTGGCTAGTCTGGAAACTCATTATGTAGACCAGGCTGGCCTTGAACTCACAGAGATCCACCTGCCTCTGCCTCCTAAGTGCTGGCACTAAAACCACGTCTGGCTCATTGTCCTAATTTTGAATTTCGCATTTAGGGCAAGGGGATCCCTGTTAACCACGGCCGTGTCCTGGGAAATCCCCAACCTTAGAGCAGGCTGGAACTGGCCTTTGCTTCCTTAGAGAACTGAGCTGCCCAGAAGTCGGTCTCTGTGGCAGGACCTCTGTTTCGACCTCCTCAGGCGCATGAGTCATGTGTTCTGAGTGTGGCCGGCGTCCTGGACACTGCTCTAAGACCTGCCTGAGAATCCTCAGCTTGCACCCCAGTGAAGGATGGGAACCATCGTTCTGAGACCCACTGGGCACCTAGAGTCACGCAGGCCAGAAGCAGGAGCTCGAGGGCAGGCCGCCCCTCCGCAGAGCCCATCTTGGCCCCAGACACCTGTTCTTGGAGCCATTCAGATTGTCTCCGGTTTGTCCCAGCACCTTCCAGAAGTCTGCCTCCTAAACTTCCGTTCAGGTCGACCCCTGAACTCCAGAAGCTCAACACGACAGCCACCTGGAGACAGTGTCACGTGACCAGGATCTAGCAACGGGCAGGCACACAGCTGGGGTCTTCACAAACGCACCTCCCGTGACTCGGGTCTCACAGGCTCACGGGCACGGTGATAATCCTGCTCTGTGCCACCCCACCAGCCCAGAAGCTCACAGAGGGCAGAGACTCTGCGGTCCTCAGGACCAACAGGCCGGGCATCCCCAGGTGGGGGCATTCCAACCCCTGAACTGCACAGACATGCTGATTCCAGCTTTCTTGTATCTGCCCACTGGCACATCCTACCTTTTTGGTCAACCTATCAAGGACCCTTTTTTCTAATTCCCATTCCCACCCTATACACTTTTTGTTTGTTCTGAGGCAGTCTCATGTAGCCCAGGCTGGCCCACAACTGGCCCTGTAGCTGAAAATGACCTTGAATTACTGAGTTTCCAGTCTCTGCCTCCTGAGTGCTGAGATTACAGCTGTGTGCCTCAACACTCAGCCCCTATCATTCATTCATTCATTCATTCACTCATTCATTCATGTATTTTGAGACAGAGTCTCACTATGTGGCCCAGGCTGGCCTCAAACTCATAGAGGTCTGCCTGCCTGCTTCTGCTTCCAGAAAATGCTGAGATTAAAGGCGTGCACCTCCACTCCTGGCCCCTGTAACTCTTTAGTGGTAAACATCCTGTGTGTCTAATTAATATCTGATGGCCCCTTGCAAGGCCACAAGCATGGTGTTAGATAACGTGGGGGCTCGTTAACCCCAGGAACCCAGCGTGGCTTGTTGGAACCCCAAGGCACCGCCCAGCTACAGATTAGCCTTGAGGTTTGGCCCAAGTTAATTCAAGGAGAGCTTCATCTGGCTTTCTGAAGAGGCATAAACAGCACAGAGCCCAGCCAGCCGGGCTCCCCCAGTGCATCATCCTCCACACCCCACTTCCTGCACTATGCAGCAGAGGGGACCGACAGACCTGGTCACCACGGGTCCAGGGGCCTGCGGCCAGAAGGCCTGTGTGACATCCTAACTCAGTGCCTGCTTGCCCATGACGTCATATGTCTTGCCTCCCCGCTCAGAGCCCGGATTTCCCGCCTATAAACAGCAGCACCATCCATCAGGAACCCTCAGGTGACCCCAAAACACCAAAGCCCGTCTGGTGGCCCAATAGGGACCTAGCCCAGGTTTCCTGGAGAACTTGGCAGGGTGGCCGAGTCCCTTCCGGTCCCCAGTTTCAGCTCTTTGGCTGTTGGCCAAAGTGGCAAGGAAGGAACATCCCCACAGGGTGTGGCACCACCAGAGGCACCCAGAAGAACCACCTCCCTAACCCTTGGCCTCCAAGAAGCCAGGCCCTTGTACATGGAAGTTAGTTATGGGGAAAGGAGGTAAAATGAGGCAAAAAACAAAACAAAACAAAAAAAGAGTAGTTAGACAACAGGAACCAGTTTCTGTCTACAGGGTGGAGGGCTGGAGGACTCCGTGGTAGAGCACTTGCCAAGCTTGCCGAAGGGCCTGGGCTCAAACCCCAACATCCTTCAGTGAAGACAACACAGGTCTGTAGGCGTGGGGGATGGGATCTGCCTGGGTTTTCAGCCCCTGCCAGTCTCCAGTGGGCAGCATGCCAGCCCAGGACGCCTGAGGCCCTGAGTCTGATTCCAGCCTCAGCGAACCGGGTGAGAGAGAGGTCCATGCCTGTAATCACAGCACGTGAGACACGCAGGCACAGAATTTAAGGTCCTCCTCGGCTATGTAGTAAGCTTGAGGCCAGCCTTGGCTAGATGAGGTTGTCGTCTCAAAACACGGAGTCTGGGGAGATGGCTCAGCAGTTTATGAGCATTGGCTGTTCGTCCACAGGGCCAGGTCTGCTCTCCAGCACCCACATGGAGAGACTCACAGCCATCTTTAACTCCGATTTCAAAGGACCCGACACCGTCTGCTGGCCTACGAGGGCACTGTATACATACGATGTACAGACGTACATGCAATCAAAACACCCGTACACATAACTTTTTTTTTTTAAAAAAATTAAGACTAATTTAAAAACAATTTCCCATGAACAAGCTCTGTTTTCTCCCTCAAGTTAAGACGTGCTCCATACAGGCTGCTTGACACTCAAATGCCTGTTCGTGCACACAAGTTCATATGCACAACACACACGCGCACACGCGCGCACACACACACACACACACATGCACACACTAATAATATACAAATAAAAATTTAAAATGATCAAAGAAGGCTGGTATGGTGGTGCATGCCTGGAACCCCAGCACTAGACCAAGGCAAGAGGCTAGCCTGGGCTACATAGAGTCCCAGGCTAGCCTAATGAACAAATAGAAACTATAATTTGAAAGAGAGAGGGAGGGAGGGAGGGAGAGAGAGAGAGAGAGAGAGAGAGAGAGAGAGAGAGAGAGAGAATGAATCCCAAGGAATATTTTCATGCCTGAACAACCTCAAGAGAAATTTCACACCATCCTTTCTGGACTCTTCCAGACTCAGCCTCAGCCCTGGCCTTAAGTTCCGAACGAACCACTCATGTAAAGAGGGGATGGGAGAGTATCTAGGGAGAGGGCCCAGACTTCTCGGAGTTTCCATGCAGAGACTCAGCAGCAGCCATGGCCCGGTGAGCAGACAGCAGTTAGTCAGGGTCGGGAGAGACCCACCGCTCAGGCTGGAGAAGACCCATCTCCACGGAGACCTCGGTCCAGAGCCTGGGCGGCAGCGGCGGTGCCACGGGGAAGGTCCTGGCCTGTGCGCTCGCAATGGAAAGGCAGCCTTCTTGTCCCCTGGGTCCCCAGCCCCTCCCCAAAGCTTTGCAAATCAGTACTTACCTTACTGTGCTCAGCAGAGCATGGGGCAGTTGCTTCAGGGCCCTGAAACGGCTCTGCCTCAGTGACAAGGCCCCAGCCCACACTGCCAGACACTTGTGGTCCCAATCTGCCAACCCCCCAACGGCAGGGTGTGGAAGGAGGAAGTGAGAACGCGGTTACTCAGGCTGGTCACGTGACGCCCCACACCCCCTTGTTTGTGACAGCTTTGGTTTGACAAGTCTGATTAAAATCGGGTGGGCAGTGGGACAGTGACGGCGGGCTTGGCCCGCTACCACTCCTGAAAATACGAGGAAGGTACGGGACCTTACAGGTGAGGGGACCTCTGGATGAGACATTGGAGACGAGTCACCGTGTATATCCCCGGGCAATGGAGAGGGGTGGCTGAAAGAACCCCGCCATGGGAGGCTGGGGCCAGGTGAAAAGGAGGTCAAGTCTCGGTTCCATTCAAGATGGAAAATGGAGGCAGAGGGACAGACAGGAAGCACAAAGTACACACCTCTCTGGGGGTTGTGCATAGAGCAGCTTTCATGCTGTGTGTGTGTGTGTGTGTGTGTGTGTGTGTGTGTGTGTGTGTGTACACCCCACCCCCATCTCTATAGTTCAGCTTGGCCTCAGGATCCTCCTTTCTCCGGGGCAATAGGATGCTTCTCTTCTCACGGGTTCTACATAACCAGGTACAGTGGTTCTCACTCACAATCCCGGCACCGGGGAGGCCAAGGCGGGAAGAGTGCCATGGCTTTGAGGCCAACCTGGACTAAAGAGTAAGAGCCTGTCTTCATCACTCCACAAATAATTCAGCAGGTCCTCTAGCAGCACTCAGGAACTCCCCGGGCAGCGACGCCCCCAATTCCCCAGTGGATTTCTCCTCCCTAATTGGTTCCTTGGGCCAGCCCTACATCTCAGGTTGGACACCAGCCATGGTCTCATGCTGTTCCTCGGGTGGTTCTTCATGGGATGGTGAGGCCAGCTGGTCAACAGGTCAGTAGACTGTTCCGTTCCCCACACCCCACCACCTCCAGTCAATGTGTCGCTCCAGGGTGGGCTGTAGAGTCAGGCAGGAGAGGGTGACAACCGGGGTGAGTAGCCAGGCTGACGGCACGGCCCAGGCCCAGGCTGACGGCACGGCCCCGATCTGGACTGGGAGAGAGAGATTAGCCTCCAAGGTCTGCCCCGCAGTTTTGCAAGGCCAGGCTCAGGACCCCTCTAAAGAGAAGGAATTCGCTGCCTAGCACATAGATTGTTTAAAAACAGAAGCCAGCAGGGCGAGGTGGTGCACGCTTGGAACGCCAGCACTCAAACGTCGACAAGAAGAACAGGGGTTTGAGGTCAGCCCGAGGGACAAAATGAGGCCCGTCCCAATAAAGTAAAAGAAGAGCCAGGGATGGTAGTTCATGCCGGTCACATCCCAGCACTTGAGAGGCTGAGGCCAGTCTGGGTTATATAATGAATATCAGGTGACCAGGGTCCCACAGCATATCTCAAAAAACAAAACAGGGCTGTGTATAAAGGTGCCCGCCACCAAACCCTGATAACCTGAGTTCAAGTCCTGGAATCTACCTAGTAGAACTGACTCCTGAAAGTTGTTCGCTGTCTGTCTGTCTGTCTCTCTCTCTCTCAAACACACACACACACACACACACACCCCTCATGGCATGAATGTGTATGCATATATTCACACACAAAATAAATAAATGAAATAAAAGTGTTTAAAATAAAGCAAGCAGCCGGGCGGTGGTGGCGCACGCCTTTAATCCCAGCACTCGGGAGGCAGAGGCAGGCGGATCTCTGGGAGTTCGAGGCCAGCCTGGACTACCAAGTGAGCTCCAGGAAAGGCGCAAAGCTACACAGAG